AAAAACACCTATGTAGTCAGCTGGTCTCTGCCTTTCTGCGCCAACGTCCATCCTCTGGACACTGTGGGCCTGGGGTGGTAGGAGCAGTGGCAGCTCCACCAGCAGCGGCTGCCTCAGTCTGCAGTCGATGATGAGTAGCTTTCTTCACCAACGCAGTGAGGAAACTACTAACCAGCCGCTGCAGCAGCAGCATCAGGTGGACCTGGAGCAGGACCTCAAACAACAGGCTTAGGCCTACTTGGACAGCACCCTGCCAACCGAGGTAGACAATCCCCTTGACTACTGGGCAACGAAACTTGACCTTTGGCCCCAACTAGCTGAATTTGCCCTTGAAAGGCTGTCATGCCCGCCAGTAGCGTGGCATCGGAGCGCGTGTTTAGTGCGGCAGGAGGTATTGTAACTCCGCGGAGGACACGACTGTCCACCCAAAGTGTGGAGAGACTCACGTTTGTGAAAATGAATCAGGCGTGGATTAGTCTGGATTTCAAACCACCAGTTCATGACACAACTGACTAAATCCGCCATGAATCATGCCCCAAACATGTTATTATTTTTAACATAGGCCTCTGTGTGGCCTTCAATTTAAGCTGCTTACACTTCGCCACTCTGCCATGGGCCCCTGTACCGCCTCCTCTTGCTGCTGCCAGGTCCAGAGTGTGTCATGGGTCCCTGTACGGCCTCCCATTGCTGCTGTCTCCATCGCCACACTCTGCCATGTGCCACTTTCAGGTCTCCTCACACTGCTGGTGGGTTCCATTTTGTCATAGGGTGCTGGCAGATTACGGGCCTCCCATAGCTGCTGCCAGGCCCCTAATCTGCCATGGGCCCCTGTACCGCCTCCTCATGCTGCTGCCAGGTCCACAGTGTCTCATGCCATGTGCCACTTTCAGGTCTCCTCACACTGCTGGTGTGTTCCATTTTTTGTCATAGGGTGCTGGCAGATTACGGGCCTCCCATAGCTGCTGCCAGGCCCCTAATCTGCCATGGGCCCCTGTACCGCCTCCTCATGCTGCTGCCCGAGGTCCACAGTGTCTCATGGGTCCCTGTACGGCCTCCCATTGCTGCTGTCTCCATCGCGACACTCTGCCATGTGCCACTTTCAGGTCTCCTCACACACTGCTGGTGTGTTCCATTTTTTTGTCATAGGGTGCTGGCAGATTACGGGCCTCCCATAGCTGCTGCCAGGCCCCTAATCTGCCATGGGCCCCTGTATACCGCCTCCTCATGCTGCTGCCAGGTCCAGAGTCTCTCATGGGTCCCTGTACGGCCTCCCATTGCTGCTGTCTCCATCGCCACACTCTGCCATGTGCCACTTTCAGGTCTCCTCACACACTGCTGGTGTGTTACATTTTTTGTCATAGGGTGCTGGCAGATTACGGGCCTCCCATAGCTGCTGCCAGGCCCCTAATCTGCCATGGGCCCCTGTACCGCCTCCTCATCTCATCTGCTGCCAGGTCCACAGTGTCTCATCGCCACACTCTGTGTGCCACTTTCAGGTCTCCTCACACACTGCTGGTGTGTTACATTTTTTGTCATAGGGTGCTGGCAGATTACGGGCCTCCCATTGCTGCTGCCAGGCCCGTAATCTGCCATGGGCCCCTGTACCGCCTCCTCATGCTGCTGCCAGGTCCAGAGTCTCTCATGGGTCCCTGTACGCCTCCCATTGCTGCTGTCTCCATCGCCACACTCTGCCATGTGCCACTTTCAGGTCTCCTCACACACTGCTGGTGTGTTACATTTTTTGTCATAGGGTGCTGGCAGATTACGGGCCTCCCATAGCTGCTGCCAGCCCCTAATCTGCCATGGGCCCCTGTACCGAGCTTCTTCATGCTGCTGCCAGGTCCAGAGTGTGTCATGGGGTCCCTGTACGGCCTCCCATTGCTGCTGCCAGGAGGCAGCAGGGTCGCAGCAGTGTCAGTGGAGGCAAACGGCCACGGAATAGAGCACCAGCTCCACTGCAGCCTACCACCATGGCCAGTAGTGGTGCCGGTGTGCACGGAGGAAGTAAGCAGTCAGCACCAGTGAGGAGTAGCGGGTGGCAAAGTTTCCTACTCGGCGGTGTGCAATTTTTCGTCAAGCCGCCCGAGGAAGTAAACTAGCCGTATGTCCAACTATGTGGCCCAGAAAGTCAAGCGTGGCCAGGGGGCCCATGTTGGGACTACAGCGTTGCGTCTCAGCATATGCTGCGTCGCCATTCGGTGGCCTGGGAAAACCGTGATAAAGATACAGCGGTTCTGCCTGCCCCAGCCTGCAGGGTTCCATTATGTCATAGGGTGCTGGCAGATTACCGGGCCTCCCATTGCTGCTGCCAGGCCCCTAATCTGCCATGGGCCCCTGTACCGCCTCCTCATGCTGCTCCTAGGTCCAGAGTCTCTCTCATGGGTCCCTGTACGGCCACCCATTGCTGCTATCTCCATCGCCACACTCTGCCATGTGCCACTTTCAGGTCTCCTTACACACTGCTGGTGTGTTCCATTTTTTGTCATAGGGTGCTGGCAGATTACGGGCCTCCCATTGCTGCTGCCAGGCCCGTAATCTGCCATGGGCCCCCGTACCGACTCCTCATGCTGCTGCCAGGCCCGTAATCTGTCATGGGCCCCTGTACCGCCTCCTCATGCTGCTGCCAGGTCCAGAGTGTGTCATGGGTCCCTGTACGGCCTCCCATTGCTGCTGTCTCCATCGCCACACTCTGCCATGTGCCACTTTCAGGTCTCCTCACACTGCTGGTGGTTTCCATTTTTGTCATAGGGTGCTGTATGGCCTCCCATTGCTGCTGCCTCCACCGCCACACTGTGGCTCCACACTCTGGTTTTGGCCCCGTGACTGCCCAAATTAGTGAAGTGTGCGGTGATTCTAAGATCGACGGCACTCATCTGCATGTCATACTGACTGACAGTATTATTTCTCTCTTCCCCAGCAGACTCCAAGGGCATTTAAATTAAAGGTACAGTGTTCTGCGCTAATATAAAGGCTCTCTGAAGCCTAGAAAACACCCTTTTATAAGTTACATTCGCGGCGAATATATTCGACTCAAATCGAAATTTTTTCACGAATTCGCCGAATCAGTCGAATCGAATTTTTGAATAATTCGCTCATCTCTACTCAAGATGACTGGATGCCACTTCTACCCCTAGCGGAATTCGCGTACAACAACGCTCGCCATTCAGCGACGGGACAGTCCCCGTTCTTTGCCAACTATGGTTTTCACCCCGTCTTCCTCCCGGATTTGGTCTCGGAATGCCCAGTACCAGAAACGCAAGATATGGTAACGTTTTTCTCCGCCAACAATAAGAAGCTTCAAGAGGCCATCAGTCGGGCCCAGGAGGACTACAGGAAGGCATTCAACAGGAAACGGAGGGGAGATCTGGTGTTGCGGCCTGGGGAGGTTTGGCTAGAACGTCCAATTTAAAGAAAAATGCGCCATGCAAAAAAAAAAAAACGTGGAACCCAATTTAAAGATGCTTTGCCCTCAAAGAAATTGGGACCCAAATTTATAGGCCCTTTTTGCATTAAACGGATGGTCAACAAAGTGGCCTACGAACTCGTCCTTCCTGACACACTCAAGATCCACCCAGTCTTCCATGTGTCCCTGCTGAAGCCAGTGATCCCAGATGCCTTCCCTGACCGAGAATCTAGACCCCCGGAAGCCATAACGGTCGAGGGAGAAGAAGAATTTGAGGTAGAAACAATCCTGAAGTGCCGAAGGAGGGGGGGCCAGACCCAATTCCTTATCAAATGGAAGGGCTGTGGCCCTGAGGACAATTCTTGGGAGCCAGCCCATAATGTCCATGCACCCAGACTTGTCCGGAGTTTTTTTTCGCGATCACCCGTGGTGGAGAGATCGGGTGGGCATCCGGAGGTTGCCCGTAGGTGGGGGGCAATGTCAGGGATCTCCTCGATCCCCGCCGCGATGGTCCCGGCGCAGGTGCAGTGCACCACTCTGTGCAGGGACACGAGCACTAGGTCCAAGCCGGCCGCGGCGTTCGAGTTCGCGCGCATGCGCAGTAGAAGCCACGGCCGCCCGCTGGGCACCAATGGCAGCGCAGGGCGGGATATTTAAATGGCCCTGAGCTGTCATTCAGTGCCTTCTGGTCTTTCCTTCATCCTGTGATTCTGCGAACCTGTACCCTGTAAGTTATTGACCCGGATTGTGCCTTGACCTTGCTGTTTTCTCCTATTCTGACCCTTGCTTTGCTTGACCTCTCTCCTGGATGCCCCCTATTAGATTTGACCTGCTGTTGCTGACCTGGCGTGTGACCTGACCATTCTCTGCCCGCTGCCTTGTACCTTACCGTCCTCTCTGTTACCGACCCGGCCCCGTCTGACCTTGCTCATCCATCCATCCATTCGCCCATCCCTCGCAGTGGGGTCTTCTGACCTCCTCACATCAGACTCTTTCCCGTGGGAGCCCTTGGCGCATACCACTACCACTGACGGACGCACCCCAGTAGCACGACCTGGTCTCGGGGGGCTCCAAGTCCATCCCCACCATCAGGGGCCCTGGTGAACAAGCACCCTGGGACATTAGACTCCGTGCGCTGGGGACGCCTATTCAGTGGAGTGCTAGTGGTACCGTCGGGGCGGTCCCTTACACCATCACTGTCATACCTCCGTACTCCTCTCCTGTACATACCCATCACTGTCATACCTCCGTACTCCTCTCCTGTACATACCCATCACTGTCATACCACCGTACTCCTCTCCTGTACATACCCATCACTGTCATACCTCCGTACTCCTCTCCTGTACATACCCATCACTGTCATTCCTCCGTACTCCTCTCCTGTACATACCCATCACTGTCATACTCCTTCGTACTCCTCTCCTGTACATACCCATCACTGTCATACCTCCCTACTCCTCTCCTGTACATACCCATCACTGTCATACCCTCCACACTCCTCTCCTGTACATACCCATCACTGTCATAATACCCTCCACACCACTCCTTCCTGTACATACTACCCACCATCGTATCATCTGCAACTCCTCTCTTACATTTACTACCTGCAGTTATGCTCTTCTTCTTAAATTGGGGAATATCTCGATGACTTACATACTTTTCAGACCTTGTGAAATATTCTTGGCTGTTTTGAAAATAATACACTTTAATTTGTATCTCATGATAAATCCTGCCTCATCTCTGCCTCTCTACCTGCAGCTTAACAATGAGGCTTGCATGCAGCCACTGATCTATTTCTGGCTTTTGTCTCTCAGACATTCTAATGTTCATTTCTCCAAACGTCCTCCAGGACATCCTTCCTGAGACAGAGCTCCTCCCTCTGGACAGGAAACACGTAAGCACAGTACTATAAAAGGCGGACCACCAGGCCTCCCTCCTGAGTTTTTAGTGTTTCCTACAGAAGGATGGGTGCAGTCATCAAGGAACTGATTGTCTGGAAGCCCTGGGCCCTAGAGGTTTGCTGGTGGATCCTGGTCTGTCTTACTTCTTCCTGCCCGACGTGATCCCTTCAGGGGGAGTGGGGCTGCGCTCCTGATATCTTTCCATGCCTCAGTGGATGATGACCATCAGGGATGTGTCCTGGGGGGTCCAGGACCTTTGAGATGCCTGTCGTTCTCCTTCCTGTGTGCGGGGGGGATCCAGCATCCGATGCACAGTGGGGCAGTGACTGCCAAGCATGCGTGCGCTTAGCCGCAACTTCTGGGTGCTGTCCAGGAACCGGAAGTTCTGGCTGCAGTGACGTCATCGATGGCGGCCGAAGACTCGTGGTCCAGTCTCCATAGCGACACTAGCATCTAGTTAGGCAGCCAGTCTGGTGTACAGACCCAGCAGAGCCTGTGGCCCTACACCAAGAGGAATGGATGGAAGGCACTGGCACTTCTCAGGCAGACCCTGGTCCTTCAGGCACTGCTCCTCTAAGGTAAGCTTGGGGACTCTGATCCCTCTTGCTGACCCTGGTGGGGCACACTTCCTTTTCTTGCTCCCCCAGCACAGTGGTTTTGTATGAGGGGCCCTGGGCTGATTATTTTCTTTATTGTGGTTTTTTCTTGCTCATTGTATGTTAAAGTCCAGGACAAGTTGCAGAGTCCGACCCCCAAGAAGAAGTGTGCAGTTTGTGCAGCTAAATTGGGTTCAGCTTGGGAAAAACCCTTATGCCGCAATTGTGTGGCTAGCCTAATTAAGGATAAGGTCATTTACAGCCTGCCATAAAGTGCTCACCTCCATTAAGGATGACATGTTGTCTACATTTCAATCCTTTTGATCCCTGTTGGAAAAATGCAGTTTGCCACTGGGTCCTTGGACCCAATTTCGGCGGGTTCGGGGAGGGACGACAATAGCAGATGCATTAAGAAGGGGGGAGGACCCGGAGGAGGATCCTAGGTTCCCTTTGCTTCCTCACGGGTAGATTCAGGCTCATAAGATGAGGATGGCGAAGTTTGCTCCTCCAGAGGTTTCAGGAACAAATTGCCCCTGGAAGATGTGGACGACCTCCTTAAAGTTATCTACGAAACCTTAGAGATCGAGGAGAGGACGTTTGCCTATCTAAGCATGACCTCATGTATCAAGGTTTGTATGCTAGAAAGACTAGGGTCTTTGCAGTCCATAGTATTCCCTGGTTGATACAATTAAGCAGGGAATGGGAAAGCCCTGAGAGGAAACCCTTTTTCTCAAGTAAATCTTAAAAGGAGGTTTCCTTTTTAGAATAACTGGTCCCAGCAATGGAACAAAGATTCAGAAATTAGACACCCCCTTATCTAAATCTCTAAAAGGACAGACTTAGCATTTGAAGATATGGGGGCTCTGAAAGACCCTATGGATAAGAGGGATAAAGTCTTACTCCGTAGGCCTGGGATTCCACTTCCATCAGCCTTAGGCCAGCTTTATCGGCTATCGGTGTCTCATCATCCAGAAATTCGGAATGCAGCTTACCCAGTTAGTCACATCTCTCGGCAGAAACCTTCAGGCAGCAAATCCTGAAATATATTTTGTAACGGAACCGGAACCCAGACTGCACTGAGTTTTTCCGTTATAGCACAACTTCCCATCCCCTTTCAGAACACCATCCACAGACCACGCCCTTGAAATCCATCAGAAAAAGACCCACCCTTAACTAAAACAGGAAGCCAACAAACTTTTTTTTATTGTACACAAACAACATGTTTTATACAGAGGGCGGGGAAAGACAACCAGGGACAGGAAACACATCATCAGCCCACCCTATCAGTGGGTAGGGCTACAGTATAGGCAGGAAACATCCTCATCAACCCCTCCCCATCCAACCCAGACCACAGAACAATGGGATGCAGCCATGCGGCAAAGGATATTGACCCCAACCCCCACACCAATACACAAACAGTACATCCCATAATAGTTTGGCTGGACAGGAAGACACAGCACAATGGGGGGTAGCACATGGCAAACAGACAATGGACAGCCATGTGGCCTATACAAAGTAACACACACTATACACAAGGACTCAGACATTCACATACACAAGCCCTGTACCCCTTAACAGGGCACAGGGGGGGTTAAACATAATGAGGGGGACATGAGCTGACCAAGCGGTCCCCCACACCCCCAAAAGTCACTCCCGTCACAAATTTCCTTTGCTGTTTTAAAGCAGTTTTCTTTCCTTGTGGATGCCTCGGCCAAATCAGTTAAGCTAGCGGCTCGAACCTCTGCCCTAGAGAATTCAGCTTAAAGGCATATTTGGTTAAAAACCTGGGCAGGGAACTCAGCATTCAAACTGCACCTTTGTGCCATACCCTTGATTGGCAATAATCTTTTATGGTCCAGGTCTCGAGGAGGCTCTGGAATGTACAGCCCAAAACTAAAGGACATTCCAGAGAGTAAAAAAGGTTTTCACTCTAGTAGTGTTTTTTTGTCAAAAAAAAACACATGCCCACAGGCTAAGGAGGTTCAGCCTAAGAAACCTTGGACAGGGCAACAGTTGCATAGGGGAAGAGGAGGAATCTTATTCAATCCTCCTCAAGGCCCCCAAGTCT